TGCTGCTGTTCTGGCTGCAGCAGCAAAAGGACTGAAGGTGGGAGAGAAGCATCGAGGCAATCTGCGTGTCTCAGGAAGCGCACGGCCACCACCCGCTGCAGCAAGAGCAGCAGCGGCAACCACTGTCAGCAGCAGCAACAGCAACAACAGGAACAACAGCAGCAGCAGCAGCAGCAGCAGCGAGAGCACCACGGGACTGTGCAGCGGGAAGAGCAGCAACAGGCGGCAGCGCAGAAGCAAACCTACATGAAAAGGGCCCACCTGAGGCGCATGTACACAGACTCAGCAGCAGCCGCAGCAGCAGTTGCAGCAGCAGCGAGTGGAGCAGCAAAAGTAGCAGTAAGAACCGTCAAGGCTGCAACCGCAGCAACAGCAGCAGCAGCAGCTGCAGTAGCAGGAACAGTGAAGGCTGCACCCGCAGCTCTAGCAGCTGCAACAGCAGCAGCAGCTGAAACAGCAGCAGCAGCAAGAGCAGTAAATGCCGCAACAGCAGCAGCAGCAGCAGCAAGTCATCCGGGTGCAGCGAAGACACTACAGCAGCAGCTCACAGGGGCAAAAAGGACATCCCAGGGGGAAGCATGGCTGCCGTGCTGCTGCCAGTGCACCTTAGGGAAGGCCGCCTGCAGCAAACCAGCAGCAGCAGCAGCAAGAATCGCAGCAGCAGCAAGAACCGCAGCAGCAGCACCAGCACGAGCTGCTGCTGCTGCTGCGGAGGGCTGGGCCCGGGAAACCATAAGCTGCTGCCCATTATGAGTGTCCCGCCGCCCCACAGCAAAGAGAAGACCCTTTTTGACGAAATCAGATAAATCTATGTTGAAATTTCTGCGGTTCTAGGGTTTAGGGTTTAGGGTTTAGGGTTTGGGTTTGGGGTTTCAAAGGGTCACCTTGATCTCCCTGCTTATCCTGGGGTGGCGAGAGGAAAACCAAACAGAGAGAGAACCTCTCATTGCTAATAAACTTAATTTCAACTTTGTAGCAGCAGCAGCAGTTGCTGCTGCTACTGCTGCTGCGAGTGCTCGTGCTGCAGTGTCGGCTGCAGCCTGT